TGTGGATACTTACCCCTTGTGATCATCCTCATCGTCATCTCCCATGCACTGACAATCTTCATTACTCCATACCCGCAAAAGGACAAAGAAACTTGAAATTACCAGCTAAGTGGTGACTTTCTCTGATACTGTTGGGTTACCTGATTCATTCTTTGTGTTTGCACATTACAATAAAGAACTTGTATCTTTGAATCAGCTGTCTCCTCTTCTGACTCTGACAGATAGTATCCTTATCAACTGCTTCAAAAATGGACTAGATGACAATTTCTGCCAACAAAAAATGGATGTGTGACACAAGCACAATTTTTGGACCTCGTACTGTGGTGGTGTGGTTCAATACATACAGTCGTCCTGAGTCAACCATAAAGTCTGTTCTTGTCAAAGATCCACCAGTTTTCTTTAACCAGCATGGCATTTCAGGCCAGTCTCCAGCCATCATAGAGTATCTTACTATTCCCCGAACCAGGAAAGCAACATATCCAGCCCTTTCCTGGGCACAGAAGGCTGTGCTCAACAGAGCGGATCCTCCCCTCATTTCTGTCAGGGTGGCTCTAAAGAAGCACTCCACTCATCAGTTCCCAAGTCCAGAGTCAGTTCCAGAAAAATAAATTCCTGAGAAAGAGATTCCAAAGGTCTGTTCCAGAGGTAGAGATTCCAGAGCCCGTTCCAGAGAAAGAAATCCCAGTGTTGGCTTCAGCCCCTGAGCGCAGTCCAGTGTCGGCTCCAGTCCCTGAGCCCACTCCAGAGTCCTCTCCAGCCCATGAGCCCACCCCAGAGTCCTCTCCAACCCCTGAAAACTCTCTAGAGCCTGCTCCAGCCCATGAACTCGCTCCAGAGTCCTCTCCAGCCCCTGAGCCCACTCCAGAGTCCTCTCCAGCCCATGAGCCAACCCCAGAGTCCTCTCCAGCCCATGAGCCAACTCCAGAGCCTGCTCAAGCCAATTAGCTCACTCCAGAGTCCGCTCCAGTCCATGAGCCCACTCAAGACCCAAAGCTCAGCCAGGAACCAGATCAAGCCCCAAAGCTCAGACAGGAGATAGCAGCGCAGCAGGATCCAACGGTAACTGATTCTATAGTAATTACAGCACTGCCCATGATGGCTACAGTTATGTTGTGTGTGTGGGCTGCACACCAGAGTGTGTGAGCGGAGTGGAGCGGCGTGATTGTAAAAGGTAAAATTGTTGCCGCTCCACTCCGCTCACATACTCTCATGCTCCGCTCCGGGTTCACCATTTACCACTCCCTGCTCCACTCCTCGCTCACTGATATCAGAATCTCCCTCGATCAAAGTCACTGAGGCCGATCATAGTTCCTTCATTACGGCCATGGAGGCCGATCATAGTCAGCCGGCCTTCCGGACGTCGGCTAGTTAGCCGGCCCTCCAAATGTTCCCAAGCCAGCCGCCCATTTAGACGTTCTCAAGCCAGCTGATCCTCCAGACATTCTCAAGTTAGCCTTCCAGCTCGGATGTGGTGGTCTCCTGCTCTGCCCTGGGAGTCTTCAGCTCCACCATGCATCCTGGAACGTCTGCTGGGGATTCTACCCTGGCTCATCCTGTCCGCCTACTGGGTGTATGGACTTACCTGACCGCTTATCTGCCTTGTGGATACATACCCCTTGCGATCATCATCATCTTCCTTGCACTGACAATCTTCATTCATCCATACCCGCAAAGGACAAAGAAACTTGAAATTACCAGCTAAGTGATGACTCAGTGACTTTCTCTGACACTGTTGGCTTACCTGATTCATACTTGTGTTGGCACGTTACAATAAAGAACTTGTATCTTTGAATCAGCTGTCTCCTCTTCTGACTGTGACAAATACTGAGTTGAGGGTATGAATATTTATACTGACACAGTGTCAGAGATATTTAGCTGAATAAGCAGAAACCATTAAAACATTTACAAACATTTCTCTTCAACACTTCAGAGATTTACCAGGAGGATCATTTATATAAAAAATAAGCCCAGAAGTTTCTCTTCATTGTGCTCTGCTGACAGATTTTTAAAAAGCCCTTCCAGCGGTCCGACAGATGTGCCATGTTTTATGTGATTTGCGGTCCAATATTGTCCCACTTAAAGCCTTTAAAGCAGCACTCTCTTGACCTTTGTGAAAAATTGGACCAATGTATGTAACTGCTTTTCATTCTTTTGCATAAGTGTTTCCAGAGGAGCATCTGTGTCTTCAGCACTATTCTGATGAGATTAGATTCCTATACAGTGTTTGAGTTCATCTGTCATTTCAGGTATTGATTCAGACATGATTGGGATCTTTGTAGTTATTACCAGGGTGGAAGTGTATGTTGTCTGGATGTCAGTGTAAAGGAAGGATTACACCAATTGCTATTTTACCCAGGAAGTTCTGTAAAAGTTCTAAATTCATTAAAACGATGCATCAAAAATAGCTTTAGTTTCAGTATTCCAGTGGTTCTCAATTCCTGTCCTGGAATTTTATCAGATGAAGTACACATCTACCAAATTACATACATTTTCATATTAAACATTGCAAAATACATTTAACACTTGACAATTTATATTAACTAAATAATATTTTAATATTTATATAAATTCACTTGAATTACATACACATTAAATAAAAGTATGATAATTTATATTTATTTTTAGAAGTATATGTCATCATACCTCAACTTCTCTAATATGCACTACAGAATTTTTGTCTGTGTTTGATGGCATTGCAGGGTGTTCCGAATGAACGAATATTCACAAACGAATTGAACGAATGAACGAATATTGAACCAATATTTGGGATGACTGACAGTGATAACCAAAGGAAGGGACAGAAAATCTCATTTTTTCAAAATAGATCTGCGTATTAAGTCCTGCAGTGTAAATGCAAAAACTTGCCACAGCAATATTGAAAAAGGAAACAAATCAGTGATGGCTGAATTATTAAAAACCCTCTTTGTTCTAATGCTTGCGTTTCTTTATTCTTCGTTTTATTCTGACATTTCATGTGTCCTTTTTAAAAGTTTACATATAAACACACACTCACACTCAGACACACACTCACACACACACACATACTTTTTTGTTCTCTTAGCCAAATCAAATAAAGCCATCCTCTCAAGTAACAATCTCTCAATCCTCAGTCAAACATGGTGACAGCAGCATTACGTTCTGCGTTTCTATTTGCAGGAGAAACTAAAAAGCTTGTTTGCATCAAGGACAAAGAAAAATACACAAACATCCTTGAGGAGAATCCGTTTTGGTCAGCCAAACATCTGCGTTTAGGCCAAGATTGACTTTGCAGGAAAGGACAATTCATAAATATGATGGATTTCCAATCCTTCAACACTGGAGGATTACTGGAAACAAAGTGGAAATCTCTGCAGCTGTTTTCTGCTTTATCAATAAACAAAAGCACAAACAAAAGAATGTCACCACAGATTCCCAAGAGATCACAAAAACGTTCTCTTTCTTTCTAATTTGAGAATGTCGCTTTTAATTAAACACATGCCAAATATGCAGGATGTTGTCGTGTGATGTGAAAGCAGGATTATATAAGGATTGCAGAAAATGATGAAACAATTAAAAAGATTTGTTGTCTTCTTACAGACTACTATTCCCTTTTCATTCTCCTCTCTCACTTTGTCTAAAGACCACATGGGCAAACACACATTATTACCTGATATGACCAATGTTTTTTTTTTTGTTTTTTTTTACAACATTACAATTTTAGCTATTTTTGATTGCAGACACCCGAAGCACAAAGCATACTTCACTTGTGTGTCTACTGAACTGGTTTCTTATTTATGCTATTATTTAGGCTCTGTCCCAAATGGCACACTTGATGTGCACTTGTGGTCTTGTGGACATACAATGGTTGCCGTGTGCATGTGTCAATTAAGTCCACAAGACCATAGGGTGTCCCATTTGTTATTTTAGGTATCAGAAGGGAGCACCCCCTCGATGCACACTTTTGCCAAGCAAAGCGCCATTACGTGTGGACTCGTATGAAGATCGCGAGGGCTTCGGGTTCCATTTGAGACCGGGCCTAACAAGCACATCCCACAGTTTAGCAACACTTCACTGCATTTTGCAGCAATCACTTGAACTGATTTGGGCATTAAGTTTAGGCTTTTAGGGAGGGACAAAAGTGTACCAGAAAAGGGGTGCATTGGATTTATAACACAAGACCAATTTTTAAAATGAATGTGGCACAATGATCACTTAATCAAAATTGTCTTGTTTTCCTGATCATTGGAAGCCAAAATCATAACTGAAAATCAAATTCAATATCGCCCACACCTAGCAGAGATTTTTATAGGTGTAAAACAGCTTACTAAATCATTGTAGATCTTTTTGGATTTTAGTTTAGGGTCCAATTCTCACAATTAACTAACTATTACCAATGACTTTTCCCTTAATAAACTCCTCTAATTACTGCTTATTAATAGTTAGTAAGGTAGTTGTTAAGTTTAGGTATTTGGTAAGGGATGTAGAATATGGTAATGCAGAATAAGGCATTGATATGTGCTTTATAAGTACTAATAAACAGCCAATATCCTAGTAATATGCATGTTATAAGCAACTAGGTAATTAGACCCGAATTAGAGAAATAGAGACCCTAAACTAAAGTGTTACCGATCTCTAAAGTATCAGTTTAAAAATCAGATTAAATTTCTGAATTGTCTATTGTAAATAGTGTAGTGATGTGTGAAGCACAGCCCACAATACACTTTTAAACCAAGCACCTTTCTGTTGGTCAATGCAGTGAATGTGTGACCAACTTGAATCCATAGACAAATCTGTGTGAAGGAATCTTCACCCTTCATGCGAAAATTCCCATGAAAATTTGCAGAACAACGGTAAATGTGACCACCCCCTTAAGTTGGACAGATCATGAATGGGCAAAATTCATATTTTCTGAAATGGACTCAAATTAAATTGAAGTTTAAATTCGGATTCTAAACACAATGTCACTGCAGAGTACTCTTTTTCTTTGTTTCTCTCTCTCTCCAATTTACTCAGAGACTCACCATGTCTTTGAAACTGCCCAGTACAGCAGTGGTCAGGATTCCAAACACGAAGGCCAGAAGGTTAAGGGCAGTTAGGATCCAGAGGAGAACATACAGAGAAAGGACCTCCTGACAGCTCTGCACACCAACAAACTCATAGTAATTGTTCAGATATCCTCCACTGGAAAAAGAAAGCAAGCAGGCAAATCATTGTCATAGTATTACATGATTATGTGCTATTTCACATTAATAACTAATCTACTGCAACTAGATGTTCTGAATAAGGCAGAATAAGGCATTGATATGTGCTTTATAAGTACTAATAAACAGCCAATATCCTAGTAATATGCATGTTATAAGCAACTAGGTAATTAGACCCGAATTAGAGAAATAGAGACCCTAAACTAAAGTGTTACCGAAAGTATATGTCTCTGTAAGTGGTTCTTGCTATGTATGGTGCTAAATGAGTTATGTGTTTCCTTACTTACTTTTAGGAATTTAAACCCTCAAAATATGAATAATAGCAATAGTTATATTTGCCTTAGCTCTCTATTATGCTATGGGGTGGACAGATAACAACTTTATTATTATTATTATTTATTTAGCATTATTGATGAGTGTTTCTTTAAAGTGTGTCTTCACAAATATGCTAATTACTTACTTGGCACAATCATACAAATCACAACAGTAACATGTTCCACTGCGAACTTTCATATCACAGGACTCTGTTAGTCCTTGACAGGGAACCTACAAAACAAAGTAGGTTTAGAAAATAAAATGTTATAGGCTATTCAACACTTGAATGTGGGTAAGTTTCATAAAAAAGCAACATTTTGAACAAAAAGCGGAGAAAATCGCATTGTCAAAGACTATGTCTGGATCGCATTCAGAACGATTATCAAAATTCGTAGATGGAGTAGATCGATTCCATCAACACCCCCAAAGCTTCACAGTCCTATAGCTCGTCCTGGGTCGACAGCTCATTCGGTAACATTAGGCAGTTGTGATTTATTTCCTGTTTAATGTTAATGATTGCGTTATTTTATATGTGCATATGCTTCAATAACTTGTTTCTGCTTTTTCTTTGCCTGTGTTTTGATCTGGAGATTCTGTACTATTATAGAAGTTGAGTAATAGCTCCCCCTACCGTATAACAGTGAAAACACGGATTGCCGGAAAGTTCCGTCAATGGCGGGGAAAGAGTTAACTTTACTTAATTACTTAGTCATGAAAGTGTACTCTTTTTAAATACATATAATTAGCCTTTTATTTAGTTGTTTATTTATTTATTTTTTTTATATTTGCAGAATACTACAAGCGCACATTCAATAAAATTAACCACACTTCTTTTTCACAAGGGATATTTTACAGAACTGAAAGTAAACCTAGAGGATTTGACTCACTGTAGTGTAGTAGTTCTCATAGATGTAGCTATTTCCACTGGTGTAGAACTGACATCTTCCTGCCCTCATTGGACGCATATCCTGTTGACAGAGTGTAAGAAATGTCTACAGTTTGCCCTTTTCCTTTGAAACTGTTTTAACTAACTTTTTTTAATACAATTCCCTTTTTGGAGTGACAAGAAACAGTAGAATGCCTTTTTTTTGGAGAAGCTCACAGTGGGATTTTCTTCTCACCACACCTTATCCCTTCAATCCCATCGTTCTTCTCTTTATGGGCCGCATCCATGCTGCTAAGACAGATGATCTGTCCTCTGAAGTTTTACACAAGTACTAAAGAGCGCCAGTATTCAGTGACTTCCTCATCCCTCCAAATTAAGCCATTGAATGTATTTTGACACTGAAATCTGTGACTGGTTGCATAAACTGTTTAGACTTCCATTCATCTTTTTTTCCTTCAAGACTGGTTGTAACTAAGTCAGTTACATAAAAGGTAGATTAGTCTAAATTGAATCCAAAAAGTAGCCTAATGATTATCTTTAATTAACTGCTAGATAGTCAGATTAGTTTTTAAGACACAGTCTTATCATATTGGCTATGTTCATGCAACTGGCTTCTGGACTGAACATTGTATGATTGTGCAGACAAAAGAATGCAGATCTCCAGTATATACCCTTTGGTTGCTATAGCATTGCTAAATGGTGAATGGCAGCTAGGCAGTTGCTAAGGTGGTTTTTATGCAAAATTGTGAATGGTTAATGTACTCACAATATTGAGCAGGATGAAAACGCCATCAACCAAAAGACACAAGAAGCTGGAAATGATACCAAAACTCAGGAACACAATGGCTGCGATCAGCTGGACAGAAAAAGAAAAATGGATTATAGATACAAATATACATTTGGATTGACAAACAAAAGAAATGCTGTCATTATTATTACTTTTTGGTACATTTTCCCCTAAATACAATATAAACAATATTCAAAACAATGAATTTCTTGGAATGTTTTATAATATAATTTTTGTATTAATAATAAAATATAAGTTCACGCTCTAAATCACTAGACTGTATGTGGCCCTCAAAGTGTAAAGAATGTATTAGCCTATAATGTTGTCAAGGTCATGAAATGTTTCCTGTTGTCATACAAATAATTGCTATAAATTTATACTAATCACAATGTTAATGTAATTTACAAAGAAGCATACACCTTTACACATACACCTTAAGAAGACATTTATTCAGTAATATTTCATTGATTTATACATCACTGTTGTCTTTTAAACACTTTAGTTTTGGACTACATTCACAATGTACATTTATTAATATTATTATTAATATTAATATCATTAATAATATTTTTGCTTCAATTAAATTCCACATGTATGCAAATGGAGCCGGAAGAGCGCATAGTTTTGAAATGTGAAATGCGCAATGATCAGACATCTAAAATAATCGCGACAGGCCTAATTATATAAAGCACTGCTTCATTTGACATGAACTTTAATGTTGTAAATACCTTTCCTATTAAATACACATTTATTTATGTGCACATACACACAGTATTTGTCCAAATATGGGATACACGCTGGGACAAAGAAAACGCACAGTATTTGTCTTGTCCAAAGCCTATAAATTTTGTTATTCCTGGGGGCAGAAAAAAACTCATCTGGCTTTGAAACTAGCCATAAATTACATATAACTGACTGCAATGACTAAACCAAATGTCATAATGTATTTATTTGAACATGCAATATGATATCCACAGGGACAGATCTTTTCTCAGCTTATCAGAGACAGACTGCCAAGGGAAGCTGAACCCACCACCAACAGAGAGACAGATGAACATCAAGAGAAAAGGAGAGGCAGGAAGAGAGAAGGTGAACCAAGACAGTAAATGGACATACTGTATATGAAGGTCAATAGAGGATCAGAGATCAATAACAGGAAGGAAAATAAAAGGACAAGGTTTACGCTCAGGACCTGTGCTTCTTGTTCAGTTAAGTGAAATATACCAGATGTGAATCACAGTTCAAAGATGGGAACGAGGAAGATATATTTAAATAAAACAACAACTTTAAAAAAAACTTTAGAGACTACATGCATATCGCAGTCAACTCAAAAAAAGAGAAGCCTCATTTGAAGTCACCATGAATTCAAAATTCTTTTTTTAAAATGAAACATCACAGTGTTTATCTCTGCACATCATTATTTTATTTTTAATTCATGTGCCTTCCTAATCTTTAATCAAAATAACATAATATCTTCTCTGATGATGTGTTTACCAGTCCACCGGTTCAATCAATTCCAGATGGGCAAAGACAAGTCCCACCCAACATTTTTTCATTTACTTTACTTTTCTTTATTCAAAGAATAATGATGAATACTGTCTGAACCTCTCACTGAGAGAAAGAACATGTTATCAATATGTTTTGGAGGAAAGATTCCTGTTAGAGCCAGAGCTTGAAAAACTTCAGCCTTGAAGAAGCATCTTGTGAATCTGTGCTAGTATTTTTTTGTTACAGATCAGTATTGGTGAGGTGAACAACTGCCACCCTGGGGAGATGGGATGACTTGTTTTTCTCGACAAGCTTAGCGCTTGTCTCATTAGAAACTCAGTTCTGTGACCCAGGAGGGTCACTTCTAACCTAACTCAGGGTCCGGGTGTCAGCCATATCATCCATGAAGATATGCTTCTGCTTATCAGTCCATGTGTGGACATTTTCTAAGTTTATCTATTCCTTAGCCAATCAGAATCATTCAACCTGAAGTAATGACATATCTTCATGATTTTGGGAGAGTATAATTGGTGTGAAAATGTGAATGTACGCAGAGAGGCCTACGAACTCCTTCCTGAGTGTTGAAGCTGACTTCTGTTGAAATTGCAAATGAGTCTTCAGTAAAACTTTCTTCAATTGACTGCACTTCTGACTCCTGGTCATTCATAATATCTGGTCCTTGGGTCTTTAAAGGTGCATTGCGCAACATTTCATGTTAAAAAAAACAGTTTTTCTAACCTATACATGCTTAAACAATTGCCTGATGGGCTGAATGAGCCCTTCTCTGATCACTGCGATTGCCTTTATAATCCTGTACAGTAAAATAAATAAGAGGGATTCGGGACAGAATTTGAGACTGGGCGTGACGTCATGCGCGTTCACGCTCACCTGGCTATGTCTGGCAGGTTTGTGTATTCGCCGCCATTCTCCGTATCAGCGAAGACAACTCGAGCAACAAAACTTTAGTCAACTTTTCGACAAAAGTAGAAGATGGATTCTAAGAGACCGGCTTGTAGTTCATTTCAAACCCCAACGCAAACTCCACGTAAGACAAAGAAAAGAAAACTTTTGTCTAGTGCCACCAAAAGGGCCAAATTGGAGTCAGACAGGCGTCGGAATAAGACGAGAGTCAATATCGGGAATAGACATGTGCCGGTATTCGGTAATGCGATAAATCGCGGTAATGAATATGCACGATATTGTTATCGCGGGGACTTCGAAATACGTGAAAAATACATCAACCGCTTAAAAAACAATGCGTATATGCTGCGCAAAACACATGTGCACTTTGATGTAAACAATCCCCACATCACATGTATAAGCACTGTGTGCATGCAGTGCGCACTCTAGTCTAATGTAAACAATCCTCACATGGAGAAGAAGCACGGCGGAAGGAGGAACGCTGCCGACTATTTATCCCCCGCATGGCTGCCAACTCTCACGCATTCAGCTTGAGACTCACGCAATTGACACTTTCACACGGTCTCGCGCCACACATCCATTTTCTCACCCAGAGAAAAATCGCGGAGCAAAGAGGACACTGACACCGACAGACTAGACAGAGCAGGTTACTTTTGATATGAAAAAAATATCAGCTCTCAGGTTTTATAACGAAATTCAGACAATAAATACTGTTTTGGTGCTTGTAAATGTGACGTGACAGATCGCGCGCCTCAGATCAAGTAAACCGATCATCTGTTACTTTTTATTAAAGATACAGTACAACCCACCGAAAGGTACGTACTTTCGATCAATCAGTGTTTTTCAACCACGGAAAGAGGTCAATAACACTGCAGGAGAACAATTATGTCACAGAACGTTACATTTACCTCAGGAAAGCCATTTAATGTTAGTTGACTGAAAATAGCAAAACGTATTTTGCTAAATATGTGCACTATATTACATATTTTAATATATGTACTTGTCATTATATAATTGTTATTATAATGAAAATTACGGCATATTACATTTTTATATTTATATTATTATTATATATTGTATGCATTATATTTAATTTCTCTCTGTATGTTTACAGCATTATGTGAGATATATTTTTTCTTGAGAAACATTTAAATGCAGGCTATCTACTGTAGCCTACCTAATATTTATCCAAATGAGTCAATATTGAATCAAGATTGAAATTAAATCCAAGAATTGAATTGAAATCATGAAAATTGTGTTAAGCAATAATACAAACAGTAGCCTCAGTAACCATGTAAACATTATAACATGTTGTCACTAAAAAATTAAATTAATGTTTTGACAATCACAATTACACATTGTGATGCAAGTTTTTTTTAGATACCCCCAATCCGTCTGTTTCTCTTGTGCAATTAAAATATCGTGATAATACCGTATACCGTGATAAAAGCTCAATCAATTAATCGCAGCATGAAAATTTGATACCGGCACATGCCTAATCGGGAAGGCTTTCAACAAATGGAGAGATCTCCGGTCTGCTCTAGGGCTCAAACGGGATCCTCTGATTATTATTTTGAGCTTTTACAAAGTAATAACTTATATTGTTCATGAACGTGTTTCCATAATAATACAATCATAAGTGGATTCAGTAAACACATAAAACAGTTCAACATGGAGATAGATGGAAACAAAAACCGAAGTTTTCTACTACCCCCGTTTTCCCCTCACACATAAGTGTGTAATTTACTCAAATGCCTTTCCTTTCATATATTTAAAATGACTTGCAGATTTATAACTTTATTACCTCTGAAGACATTATGACTGTAAACAAAAGATTTGTGCGGCTGATGCTCCTTTGGTTATGAACAGCTCGTGCTCGTGCAAGCGTGCGTATGCGTGTGGTCCATGAGCGTGCACACCTCTGGTTGCAGTTTCGCTTGTCGCCAGAGGGGGCATAGTTCTGCAAAAACTCAGAGACTTGCGCAATGCACCTTTAACTGTAAATTCCCCCACAATGTATACTGTTTAATTAGCCTGGTCCCACCAGACTCTCGTACATTTCATTTGTACAGAGAGTCTGGCCTCGCTCCATTGACAAGCGTTAACTTTCTTGTAGGCGGGTACTCTGTTGAAGGATAGGGTACTCTGTATCTGCCATAACAAATCACTAACGTTTGGTCGTGACGTATGACGACTCAAACCATAGACAGTAAAGACTCAAACTAGCGCACGACATCAACGTCATGGTTCTCAGCCACTCCCTCTCTTCGCTGATTGGACCGGTAAAAAATTGACCGGAGAAAACCAAAGAATACACCACAATCCCAGACGCAGTACTGAAGGAAAATGAAAATTGAGCGAAAGTACGTAGGAGGCCGGAGCCAGGCTACTGTTTAATAGCATTATGTGGTGGAAATTACAATTCTTACAATTTAGCATTAAATGTCTTGCTATGGCTAATTTCATAACTTGCACTTTATGTATACTAAATAATTAATATTTTAAAGCAAACTTGACAAATTTACTGCTTGATTAAAAATGATACACAATAAATATATTACTCTCACAAGGGATATTTTACTTTTAGTTGTCTTCACACAGATGTATCATATTTCTCAAGCAAAGCTTTTCACTGACACTGTTGTCTCCTAAACTTTATA